CATAAGCGCAATTTGGGGGGGCTTATCCCCCAAATACTTCTTTAGCCCCCCCATATGGTGAGCGGTGACACGAAATTAGTTACAAATAAAATCATCGTTGATTGACTTAATAAATATTAATAATTGTTTAAAATATAGTGTCACAGATTGATGTATGACATTTTTAAAATTGATTTAAGTGTCACCTAAGCACAGTCCCTTAAAATTACGTTGCACAGTCATACTTATGGGATAGTTGTCACTTAAGGACTCCCTTAAATTTAAGTGCTGGATTAACAGCCCATAGCGGGCCCGTAACATTTGATATCAGTCATTCTGATATAAAGACATTTTTATTTGTTCTGCTGCGTCATCGTTTTAAAAATTGTTTTATTTCATTAAACTTTCATTTATCGTTTTAATTACAAACAAGTAAACATGAACGATGATATATTTGAGCTAATTGACTTCATACAATTAGCTGCCGATGAACAAGAAGTGCCCATAAGGAAATACATCAGAGACAGTGCAAATCCTATGGAAGTGTATACGCCACTGGAGTTTTATAGAAGATATCGGTAGGTTTTTATTATTACCTATAATAAATAATTTTAGGCTTAAGTATATTTTAGTGAAGATTTCAAAGGTGTATTTAGGATGGGGAGAAATTTGTATAAAATATATTGCAGCTGCAGGTCGCAGGAAAACATGACAAATAAAATAACTTGTATTATTATTTTTTAAAATTTTTTTAACATACACATGTTTTTGCGTTGGATACAAGATTTTTTTCTCTGACTATGAGGTAAAATTTCGAAAGGTTTTTGCTATTATGATTATACAACCTAATCGTATCAATTTTAATCATACATATTACCTACAGAAAAAATTTCGAGTACCTATAGTATATACTATATAGCGTGCTACTGGTTTTCTTTGATTATCGATGTTATTTTTATATAATTTATTTGACTCCAAACTCCTAACCTACACGTATATAATATGACAATTTTTTATTTTTATTTGAAATAGTAAATTTTACATCTAATAAATTTTTTTTTATAAAATATTATTTTATATTGTTTTTATTTTTAATAATATTTTTAATTCTTAGATTTAAAAATTAAAACTGTTATGAATTTCTAACTCAAAATAATTTGCAAATTTTCGTGATTTTTACTTATTTTGTCAACATTTGAACTTTAAATGCTTATAAAAAAAATTGTGATTATTTATTTTTAATATTTTTCAATTGCCATTGTAACAATATACTAGGAGCATTGTACTACATTTTCAAGCTTTTTTACCCAAATATTCAAATTGTATTGCCATTTAAAGAAAAAAAACGTAAAAAAATTGGAAACTGAAAATGTCCTTAAACCACTAAAATCAAGTCAAAATATTTTGAAAATCGTAAGCTGTATAGAAAATGCCTCAGTGAAATGTCACGCAGGTATCTTGTATCTACAGTTACTTGTTTTAAAGTTACCTACACCAAAAACCAAAATCGATTTTGTTAAAAACCAATTTTGTGTAAAAATTCCCGTTTTTCCTTAATTTTTTTTTTTTGTATTTCCTTGCGTTTTTGTTAATTATTTGGAATTTAAAATGTTGAACTCCTGAAATCACTAACTAGATTCACTTTTCCTTCAAACAAGATATTATTGAAGAAAATCAAATCAGTTTTACTGCCCCAAACGTTGATGATAGACACAAAAATAAAAAGTAAAACACACATCTTTATACCTACTACTTATTGGTACAACATGTAACCCAAGGGTTTGTAAATAAATTAAGCAGGTATATATAAAAAAAAAATTAAAAAATATTGATATAGACTAAGTTATTTCATTTGTCAGGTCTTTCTGCATGGACGTAAATAGGGTCCTCAAATGCATAGGGCTTGAGCCCAAAAAATTTAAAGAACAAAAATATTGGGAAATTTGTCTTTTGCCCACTATTTACCTACACACAATTGTATCTATGATGCTGATACAATTCAAAACTATCACAAATTAAATGTAATTTAATTTTTTTAATTATTGTAAAAAATTAAAGAGTTTTATACAGTCATAATATACCTATATATTACATATTATAATATTATACATAATTAATATCATTATAATTGCATCCTTCTTTCCTTCTCGGAAAACTTGTTTAAAATTTGTTCATTATCAATTTGGTTTGATAACTCTCTTTCTATGTTTATAATACTTAAATCGGTAAATCTATCTTGTTCCATGTTGGACCTTAGATAAGTATTTATTCTTCTCATAGAGGAAAAAGATCTTTCACATGTTGCCGAGCTTATAGGTATAGCTAATGCAACATGCATCAACTTATATATATTTGGATATGTATCATATGAAATAACAGACTTAAGTTGCTCATTATGTTTTTTACTGTTGTTAACTTTTTGATTTTCATAAACTTTTTTTGCGACTTTTAATTCACACTTCAGATCATCTTCTTCAATTTTTAATAAGATCTGTAATATTATAATATAAATATTCAATAATTTGATTGAAACATTAACAAATAAAAATACAAACTTTAGTTAAATTACTGACCTTGTAGTGGTTTACAAAATAAGAATCCTTATCATATTGTAAATCTAAAAATGTATCAATTGACTTGGCCATTTTTAAACTTTCCACAGAGAATCTAGTTTTCATATCATTTATTATAGCATCAATAACAGGAAAATAAGCATGAGACATCCAATAATCTTTGGCTGTTTCGATTAAATTTAGATTATCTTCAGCACCTGTTGTAGTTGATAAACAATAATCTCTTAATAAGTCTGGTTCTTTTCTTTTTCTTTTTAAATCTGAAAAATGGTGTTACAATTTTAATAAAATCCTTTAGCAGTTTAATAGGCAAATAAATTTTACTATACTTTTATTTGGCAATTCTAATTTTATGTTTTGCTTGTCTGAAAATTCTTCAATTAATTGCCATAAGTCTGAGAAACATTCAGAATTTCTGTTTTCTTCAAATGTTCCTATAACACCTACAATAGTACTTGCAGCATGGCCTAATGTTTCCATTTTATTTTGCAGCTTATTACTTAAAACATTTATTATACCCAATGCGAAGTGCATAACATGTAAATTTACCACAAATTCTGTTTTTTGAATAGTAGCTAAAATACCTATGAGTTATGACAATAGAATGTTTAAAAATAGTAATTATGTATGTATTTCAAACTAATTTACCAATAGCTCTAGAAACATCTCCATCATTGTCCTCCTCAACTTCATGTTCTAAAACTTCAACAATTGAACTAAAACTTTCAATAACTGCTTTGCAGTTTTTATGTCTGCATACCCAACGAGTATCGCTAATAGCTGATAAAGTTAACTTATTCATTTTTAATTTTTTTTGCACATCTTGCAGTTTTTTGTTTTTTTTTGGAGTGGAAAAATGAACATAAATAGCCTCTAATGTATTAAATACAGTTTTGGAGTACTAGGAAATAAATGGAAAAAATTTAAACTTAGAATCTAAAAAGTAAACATGTTACATCTAATACAATTATTATGATAAATTGGTTAACTTAATTTTAACTTTAATTAAATAATATCCAAAACTTGAAAAATATTAGGTACCCAAATTATTTTTTCATTATTAAGAAACAAATTAAATTGTATTGTACCTTTACATGTTTGCACATATTAATAACAACGAGGTTTAATCTGTGTGCCATGCAATGAATGTAAATGGCATCAGGATAATGTTCTCTTAAAGAATAATACTGTCTGTACTCCTTTTTTGGAACCAGACATAACATTTGCACCATCATAAGATTGGTCAATAATTGGAATATCATCAATCTTTAGTACTTTTAAGTATAATAACATAGCAGTTACAAGAGAAACAGCATTTTGACTTTCAGATACATTAATAAAACCTAGAAACCGTTCAAATACTTCAAATTTGTTTGCATATCTAATGCAAAGTGACATCTGCTCCTGTTTATGGCACCTAAAAAAATAAAAACTTAAGTAAAAACTTAAAATGTGACTATGTAGCTAAACATTTATAAGCAATTATAACACAAGTATTTTTTTTAATTATATTTTTATTCACCTAGCTTCATCACACATAACTGAAAAACTACCAGCATTTTTAACTTCTGTTACAATCATACTGCGAACATTTTCTGCACATATTCCAATCAGTTCATTCTGAAGCAAAGGACTTGTATAGTTTATTTCTCCATTAAATACTTGTTTAAATTGTGGATTATGTTCACACATCAATTTACACGCTTCTAAATAATTTCCTAAAATGTAAAAAATAATAATCACTCCCTTCACTTATATTAAATTTAAGGTCATAACAAAATATATAAATAATAAATATAAATATTATATATTAATTAAAATAATTTTACACCTCTGTTTAGGGAATCCTTGTTTTCAATATTTCCTCGGAAGGCAATACCTTGCCGTCCCAAATATAACAAAATATCTATAAGTGTTTTTAAGTAAGATCTGTTCTTTAGGACAAAATCTTTGTGAGCATTAGATACTTGACACAGAATATTACCAGTTATCTTACTAGAATTATGTCCATCCATTTTAGCTAAATTAATTAAATGTGTTTGTGTGGCTGCATGTGCATTGAGCTTGGAGTGTTTTGAAAATTTTGTCCCCAACTATAGTATACAAACAAAGCATAACTATAGTACTCAATACCTTCTCATTCTATTCTATTTTATTAAATACAAAAATTTATATTTACTCTTTTCCAATTTGTAAAACCACTTTTGGTAAAAACATGATCAGTAGAACTGCATCCAAATATTCGACAACAAAAGCAAAAAACAGCATTTCTTTCTATACTATACTCAATCCACTTGAACTCATTATAGTATTTGGCATTAAATGATCTATTTTGTCTACCAAAAACTGTCATGGGATATGCCTGAAAATACATTTTTGTAAAAAAACAATGAATTGGTTTGCTTTTATTTATTAAGAGTTTTTACAATCTATATAGTACTAGTGTTGGGTTAGTTACCTTTAACCTTTAAAAAGTAATAAAGTTACCTACTTTACTATAGCAGTATAGACGTATAGTACTCTTACATAAATATAATTAAATTATTTTACTTTTTTAATTAAAAAATAACTTACTGGTAAAATTGGTTGTGCAGGGCCTGTGCTTAAATCTCCTAAATCCTTAACAATGTTGGCCTGAGTATCTGAATGCTTCAAATAATAATTTAGAATATTTGAAGTATCATTTAGCTCATCAGTGTTATTTTGTGAAATATTAAATGAATTTGGATCATCTGGATCAGAATCATTTGCATTTATCAAAACATTTAAATTGGATTTGGTTATGACCTGTTCAAAATATTAATATAATATGTATGAATAAAATTAATTGTATTCATAAAATAAATAGCTTTTATTTTTTAGATAGTTACCTGTTGAGAGGAACTAGTTGTGTTTATTGAGATGTTCTTCTGTGTATCATCTTCAGACGTTTTAGATTTTTTTATATTAAAAATGCCAAACATATTTATCACCAAAAGTCCAAAAGACAAACCGTTTAGCAGTTAAATGAATACAAATGCAGCGAATTTAATTTATAAAATACAATTTGATTAATATACAATTATCGTTAGTCAAATAGTCAATACTCAATTGTCAGACGTCAGTCCGTCTCAGTGACAGTTGCAGTATGCGGTATGCCTACTGCAGTACTGCCTGAACTAATAAACTATTAAGCATTAACCAATAACCAGTTTAAATAATAATAAAGGAAAATCTATTTATAGGTCGAAAGATACCACTATCAAAACATTGGTAAACATTGCCGTTTAGGCATAGAGCGGACGGGGTGGGACGTGGCTTCAAAAATATATTATAGTCGGCTACACAGATAATATGTATAATAAACATTTATTATACATATCTATGGTCGGCTATCTAATTGTTCTATAATATGTCCATGGTTATAATTTATAATCATAGATAATCCACATAATATTATATTCCAGACATTATTACTTATTACGTTATCACTTATCGGTGATATTTATAATTATATTTATTATTATATTTATAACTATTACCATTGGTTATAAATTATAATGTATATAATTAATATCATAAATATAGATTTTAAATTATATTAAAGATAACCTAAATGGCTAAATATTAAAATATTTTAGGGAGGGCTTGAGATGGCTCAGGGAGGGCTAAGCCCTCCTAAGCCCCCCCCTATTTACGTCCATGTCTTTCTGTTACATCTACAGTTCTACCTATAAATACATTTATACAAATCATAAAAATGTAATTGGTGATATAGGACATTTTTTGTAACCTTATTTTTTGCCACTGCTCTTTTTTTTCATAAAAATAATGAATTAATTTTGTACATTGTTCATTATAAAATTATTTCATTATAAATTAGTGAATGTAGGTACCTACATGAATGAATACCTACCAAGATTAAAAAGCAGATTAACTAAAATACACTCAAAATAATTTAGGTTCTCGAAAGAAATAGTAAGAGACAAATTAATGCCAATGATAAACATTGAAGACAGGCGGAACAATCGTGGTTTACCAATCCCACCTCTATTTCAGCTTCTAACCCTTTTAAGGTTTTATGGAACATCCAACTTTCAAGTAAGCCTATAAAAGTATTTTTGAGCTTTTTGTTCCCACCATGTATTATTAACCTTTTCCAACAAATACTGCTCTTACCTTAATTATATTACAAGGGCATTTTTTTTTAGATTGTTAATGGTGATTTAAGGCGAATTCACCAATCAACGGTTTCCAGAATAATAACACGTCTATCCAAAATTATGGCTAGTAATGCAAAACACCACGTACATTTTCCTAGAAATGTTGACGAATGGAAAGTTGTACAGGTTAAATTTTATAAAATGTACAAAATGCCTGGAATTGGAGGGTGCATTGATTGCACCCACATTAAAATTCAAAACCCAGGTGGTCCGGATTTGGAAGCGTTTAGAAACCGAAAGGGTTATTTTTCTTTAAATGTCCAGGTAAGTTTTCAGGTTGATAATATAATTATAATTATATATTATAATAACATATTAATTAGGTAGGTACCTATACTACATTATACATTATACTATTATAGTGTATATGGTATATCACAAATGAATATTGGTAATACTGGAAACAGTGGCTTATTGTTGTGTGCATTCAGTTACGGAACCTGGTCTGAGTGTACTCACCGGCCGGTGTCACTTGCTCCCGGGATTTTTAGCGACAAATCCTTACCACACTTACACATACGTATTAAAAAGTAAAAACCTACAATATCTCAAGCTAATGTCCTGTTTCGAAGCCCTATACCTACAAAAAAAATAAAATAATAGAAATAATATTCAATTCACTTTAACCATAGTATTCCTAACTAATACCATTAATAATTAAAATACTTAAATTATTCTATAGGCAGTATATTGTGGTCCATCAATGGAGTTTATGGATATAGTAGTTAGATGGCCAGGCAGTTATCATGACAGTTTTATTTTCAGTAGCAGTTACGCAAATAAATATTTTGATGAACGTACACATAACATGTTATTACTTGGAGATGGTGGTATTTAACTTTTTTTTCTTAATATTATTATCTGAATTGATATATAAATGTTCTGCTTACAGTTATTACATTTTTTTTTTTTAGATTAACTGCAAGGGTATGATTTTAAAGATATATTTTTCTTTTAACAGGTTATGCATGTAAGACTTATCTTTTTACTCCATTGCGAAACCCTGTAACACCACCAGAACTGAAATATAACAAAGCACAAATTAGGACAAGGAATATTATTGAAAGGGTGTTTGGAGTTTGGAAAAGAAAATTTCCTTGCCTCCAAAGGGGTCTGGCCAATGCACCTTCTACAATTGTAAATATTATTATTGCATGTGCTATGCTCCACAATATTTCAAGAAAATATCAAAATGCTGATGACGATAGCGATGACGAGGAAGACATTTTAGAAGAGGAGTATGGAGAGTATAATGATGACAATAATATATTAGGGCCAGCGGCAAGAAGTGCATACATCGTTAGACATTTTAGTTAGAGCTGTGTACCTATCTAATTTAAGCAACTGCACATTAATATTATAATAAGTTACCAGCATATCATAGATACTTTTAATATAACCACCTAAGTAATTTTAAACAGGAAACGTAATGTATAATTACTTATAAGTTCATAATAAGTTAAAATTAATTTTATGTATTTTTTGTTTTAAGACAAACAATTAGTTACACAATTGTTGTGTTACTTCACTTTCAACTTTCAAGTTCTATCAAATGTACTTATTTCATAATAATATAATAATACAAATTTGATTTTACACAAATTAATTTTTTTAGATATACATATATATATTTTAATATAGCAAATAGTAAACAACAGTAACAACAGTTTATTGTATAACATAATAAGTATAGTAATAATTTAGTTACGTATACTGTTAATTTTAAAACAAATTTTAATGGGTAATCATAAGATTATAATACATATTTATATATTTATATAATACTTAATATGTATCAATCTTTTAATTTTTTGATTTCTAACGCCAATTTTTGACACTGGAGCTTAAACAATTTATTTTCTTCCAACCGTTTGGCCACTGTGGCTTGCATAATGAGTTTTTGGTTCAAAATCTAAAACCATGACATTTTATTTATTACCAGGCCTGTGAATTTAATTCACAAGAATAACATTTACATGCATGCATTTTCAAAACTGATTATTTTAATATTATAATTTATAACTATTATTATAAAAATGTATAAATATTATTAAACGCCATTCTTTAAAAAAAAGACAATTATTTAAATAAGAAAAAGCCTTTAAACAAAAATGTAAAATAAATATGTACAAGTATGCAGAAAATCGTGAATGCGCAAAAATAATTTTTTGGAAGCACACTATAATATTATTAAAATATACAAGCTACTTACGTCTGGTTCTAACATAGGTAATATTTTAAGGAATTAATTTAAGGAGAAGGTTTAGCCCGATATATGATTCAGAAAAAGGAACAATAAGAAATAATAAGAAAGGACATGATACTGATTAGTAATGTGAATGAGGTATTAAAAATATATTTAAAAATGTTGAACTATCAAGGTGTACCTGCTTATGTGTTTGTAATCTATAAAATCCAAAAAAAAATTAAGTACAATTGAAAAATAGTTAGATACAATTTCATATTTGAATAGATACTTATTACACCAAGTTCTTACTACCTAATTATTCAATATTCATATCATTTGTGACTTACCATCTGCATCTGTATTTTAATTATTTTAAGTATATTCACTTCTTACAAACTGTATATTATATTTACCTGCAATTCATTCATTTTTTGTTCATGATCTAAGGCTATTTTTTGGCGCTTGACTCTTAGTTCACATTCTTTTAAAATATGATCCGTTTTATTGCCTTTAACATATTTTGAAGCCATTCCAGTATCAGATTTTACTAAACAAAATCATAGGTACATAAATACATAAATATTTTGGTATAGTATTATTATATAATAAACAAGAGTCATTAATATATTATAAAAATAATTCAACTTTAATTACAATTCATATTTTGTATATAGTCAATGCATTATATTATATAAATTAATTTAAACAAACATTTTATTTAAAAAAACAGATTATGAATTATTACATTTTATAATTAAAATCTGTCTTTTATTAAATGATTTTTCTTTACTGTGTTATAGATAATAGGCAAGGCAATATATATTGTTAATATTAACACGGGTACTCAATTTCAGTGATTAGTGATGACCACAAATTAACTACCTAAGTTATCAAATGTAATAACCTAATACCTCCAAAATGTCAAAATTTAAAACAATTACCTCTATCTATAGAATCTTCTCTTAATGTAATGACAATAGGATTATCATCTGGAAAATGAAAACAAGTATATGTAATTTTACATATTAAATGTAAAATATTATTCAAATATATTTGTTGCATAGGTACAAACCATTTGTTGTTAAAACTTCAGTATCCTCATTTTCTTTGAACTTTATCCCTTGTGTGGTAGAATCATTCTGATCTATAGTATTTGGTTTTAAATTTTACATTTTTGAAAAGTGTCTTTATTAGTTTTATAATTATATTTAACTAATATTATTAGATGAAAAGTTTTCTCTCTCTAACATTAATAAAAAATTATAAGGAATGGCGGAAATGTAGGATATTTAAATGATGGCAGGAGGATAGGAGGATAAATACATCATACATTTAAGGTACCTTAAAATATTTTTAAATTCAATTATCATAGTTCAACCTGATTCAAAAAAATTATAGGTAATATTATAGATGTATTTAATGTTAATGTGAAACCAATAAATTGTATAGAGCATCAAAACATATTTCAGTTTTAAGTTGAAGTTGAATTTTTATATTGTGTTCCACTTACCTCATCTTACCTAATCTTGAAGTAATTGGACTATTAATTCATTACATTTATTATTATTAATGC